AAGTGGCGCATGAGCATAGGTGTGATGTTTTGGACGAGGGTTTACGGATATAGGCCTGTAGATATGAAATAATGTAGTAAGGCTTATATTGTACTGTTTATACTTTTGATCTGTACGAACATGACATCTCGAGTCTTTTAATGAAATACATTTCTATGGAAATGCTTTTGATAAATCTTTATCATATTATTGTTTTGGGACAAATTCCGCAATTCTTTTATTAAAAGATAACTCTGATTTTGAAATAAAGTATAAACAAAACCGGTCTTTTCTGGCCGTGATTTTGGGGATGTCACAGATCAGGGCAGCCGCACTTGTGGGAAGTGTGGGAAGGGTCATACCGGAGTTTGTAGGTTCGGTGGTGTGTGCCGCAAGTGCGGGAGAGAGGGGAATTATGCGAGGGATTGCCGTTAGTCAACCCTAGTTCAAGATATGAGGATTTGTTATCAGTATCATCAGGTTGGTCACATGAGGGCCAACTGTCCACAACTTACTGCAGGACCGGTGCAGGCTCCAACACCGGCCACTTTGAGAATTACGGGTGGAGGTCAGGGTGGAGCAGAGCCCCTGAGGGCTCAGGGACGTGCTTTTCAGCTTATAGCAGAGGAGGTCAGGACAGATCCGGATACAGCTGCGGGTATGTTTCCTTCTTGATATCTTGTTATCTTATGGTGGTTATGGAGCATTTTATATATGCTAGTCTCGTTCGCATGATTCATGGCATTGTATTTGTTTATCCTTTCATTGGGTTATCATATGATCGAGGGTTTTGGTATTGGGGGTCTTAGTTGGTTATCATCCTTGGGGATTGTTGGTGGGGAATTAGGCTTTTTGGTTCGAGTGTCGTGTATAGCAATTGCAATTGGGATTTGAGAAGTGTTCAGCGGGGAGTCGGACTCCTTTAGAGTTCGTGAGGTGCGATGCCGGAAAATGATTTTTGTGGAGGTTGCTCGTTTCGGGGGAAACCCGTTTGTGGATACGAGGAGTACGTTGAGAAAGGATAATTGTTTTATGTCAGTTAAGTCAATGGTGGTTGGTAGTCAGTGCTCTAAGTGGGGAGAATTGGAAGTTTCTCAGGAGGATCGACAACATGAGAGGTCAATTAGTTGTTTGAGTTTCAGCAGTGTTTCAGTCAGCCAAGAGCGTGGGCTGGTATGAGTAGGTCAGACGAGTGGGGCGGAATGCAGATCAAGGTTGGGCCTAGGGTTAGGCCGGGAATTCAGTGTATAGCATGGAATTAAAGTTCGGAACCCCAAGAGGGCTAGAACAGTATGTACGGGAGAGATTCCCGGAAGGAATGGTTTAGCATGACGTAAGACAGTTTTGAGCGGTCCGGATAGACTGACGGCCGGAAAGCGTACCAGTCAAGCCGAAGGCTCAGGGAACGGTCCAGACAGGCTGAAGGCCCGGAGAGGCGGTCCAGACATGCTGAAGATTCTGAGAGTGGTCCAGATAGGATAAAGGCCTGGAAAGGCGGTCCAATAATGTTGAAGACTCTGTATGTGATAGTGGATCAATATGAGGAGAATGAGTGAATATGTCTTCGTGCAATAGTAATCGTTAGGGTCTGGACCCCAAGCATTGATCAAGATGATGGAGATGGCTGGAGGCCGTGCGTGGGCCTTGTTAGTTATGAGATCGAACTCGGAGTATATGGGATATAGAGAATAACAGTTGCTCTACGTGGATAATGTAGAGTGGAGTTTAGCTCTGTGGCACGTACAGGTGCGGTAAGGGTTGTTGAGTAGACTTCCTGGAAAGAAAGGGTATGTAGCTCCGGAAGGAGTGTGGGTTCTCTGAGAGGAAGGCAGCAGAGTAAAAGGATGATCGAAGATGCTTCGATTATTGGTAGTAAGCTTTGGAATTGTACCAGATATATGAAAGCACATACGGGTTGGATGCCCATTGAGGATGCGGCAATGTCAGATGATGCAAGTGCGTATTTTCAGTCTCCTTGGAAAAAGGAGGAGGTCAGTGGCTCCAAATTGGAGTTTTGGAACAGAAAAGGGTGAGACATCAGGTTAACAAACTCGGGAGTAGTTTGGACCGGTGCTGAGGGCGGTATAAAAGATTTCGGTCGAAGGCGAAGGACCTAGAGACCGTGATAGAGAAGATGCGGTAGTAGGGTTGCAAGAACCTGAGTTGATTGAGAAATCGGAGTCTGCAGTGCAGGGGTTGTTCTGAAATGTATATTGCAATAGGCTTCGAGGGCGAAGCCTAATTTAAGTGGGGGAGAATTGTAACGTCCCGTTCTTAAAATATCTATTTATGGGTTCCCGAGATCAAGAGTAAGGGCGTTTCGGTCCTTCATGAGCAATGGGTTTTTATTCGGGAAGGTTTCGGATCGGGGTGTGTTGCTAGAAGCGTAGATCTTCTCGCCACATTCGCATGGATATAAAGTTCGTCGGGAACGGGCTTAGAATAAATGAGTTATGACACTTTGAAGATATTGACATTTATAGCCCTTAATGGGAAAAGTTGATGAGGAAGGCCATGTATAAGAACATGACACACGTGGGTATGCCTAACGTAGGCTGGGTATCGCCCAATGTAATTGGGTAAGTGGTTGCGGGTGCAAGGATGCGTACGCCCAACGTACGCTCAGAGTCATTAAACCCTAATCTTAGGGCCATCCATTATATATAGAACATAATGGCTTCAACCCCAGCCCTCATATCAGCCTCCCTAACCTCAGAAGAAACCCCAGAACGTTCCAACCTCCATTTTTAGAGATCTTGGATTTGGAAAGCTCATCTTGGTGGTTTAAGCTTGGAAGAGGAAAAGAGGAAGTTGTCAAGGAAGGAGTTGGGTGGCTGGAGCTCGTAGATCTGGGAAGGCATCATCTCTTGGAGCCCTTTTGAGGTATAAAGTCTCTTGGTTGACATTTATTTTGTGTAGATCTTGGTGTTGTGACGTTTTGACATCATTTCTTGTCCCACAAACCCCAAAGCGATGCATGATGTGAGTTGGTCAAGATTAGTTGTCCTTTCAGACCTTAGGTGAGGTCTTGTGTAAGAAAAATGAGGTCCCAAGGGATTTGGTTGTCTCATATGTGATATAGATAGGTCTTAATGGATTAAGACCATGGATTAAGAGCTTTATGGACATCCTACGTAATAAAGTTTGAGACTTTATGAATCCTAGGCATATTTAGTCTATGGATATGAAGTTTGGGCTTAAGAGCTTAAGCCATTAAGATCTTATGAGGAGTTGTAGTTCGGCGAAGTTACACCCCGTATAAATAAGGGTACGCCTGACGTACACGTCAGGGAGTTGGTATGTTAAGCGTACATTGAGTTACGCCCCGCGTAACGCTGCCAGTTTGGGCCTCGGTGTGGGATGTGATTTGGGTATTTCGGCCTTAGTGGGCCATCAGAAATCATATTATATGGACCAAGGAATATATTTTGGGCTTAAGGTGGGGCCCATTAATGGATTGGGCCTAATGTAGCAAATTGGGCCACTAATGGGCCATTAGTGGGCTTGAGAGCTTACCTAGTGTTGGGCCTTTCATATTTTGCTTATAGGCCTTAGTCTTGGACCAGATTGAGTTAAGGGTAAATTGGTCAATTTACCTTTGGAAGGATATTGTGCTTGGGCTAATGGTTATTTTGCTGCTTTGGATAGTTCGGGATTTTTAGTGAGTCGGTGATTCGGGCATCTTCTTTTACAGTTCAGAGTTTCGTCAGTTGCAAGGTAAGTTATCCTCACTATATCAACAGGGTCTAAGGCACCAACGACGACCCTTATCGGATGGAAATCCGGGTAGTTGTTATGCTATTGCCTTGTTATATTTGTATCATGGTTTATAGGACGATGCTATGCTAGTGACCGGTTACGTCGGTATCCTGGTTGGGATGTACTACGTATGTGATCTGCTAGACCGGTTGATTGGTTGTGAATTGTTAGATGATTATATGTTTATGTGCACATGGTTGATTGACTGGGGTTGGGTTGAGGCGAGTCCTGCTTTGTGCTATAGGTCGGCCCAGCGAGCGGTCCGGATAGGTTGTAGGCCCCACGAGGGCGGACCGGACATGCCGAGGCTCAGAGAGTGGACCAGGTCGACTGAAGGCCCGGTGCGGGCGGACCAGTCATACTGTAGACTCAGAGAGTGGACCAGGTGGGTTGAAGTCCCATTGCGGGCGGACCAACCACACTGTAGACTCAACATATATGGCTAGACTCGGAGGGTGGACCAGGTGGACTAAAGGCCCGGTGCGGCAGACCAGTCACACAGTAGACCCAAAGTGCATGGCTGTTCTTTTTATGATATGCTAGTTGTATGGCATATCCGGTTGGTATTTTGGGGGCATCTCACTAAGCTTTCGGGCTTACAGTTGTGGTTTAATGTTTTAGGTACTTCAGGTGACCGTGGCAAGGCGAAGGCGTGATCGTATCGCTCCTCATGTTCATGTTTTACGATATGGTTCTGGGAATACTCTGATAATAAATGTATTGAAAACCTTTTTGTAATAAATTAATGAAATTGGGTTGTTTTTGAAAAGTTTAATTCGGTTGAAATTTTTAGAGTGTAACACCTCGAAAACAACCAAATCAAACTTATAATTAAGCAGTTTTTCTGTTGTTCATGGCATGTCCCAATATTTTCAACACCAAACACCTCACAAAATGAACCAATAACACACCCACATTCTCCCAACAACACTATTACCTGTTCAACGAGCTACTTAATTTAATCTTGCCATATTCGGCGATTGAAAACTCCAGGATCCTACTCCGGAAACGAAATACGGAAAAGCCATGTTTGTTGGTCGAGCCCAAGTTTTTGAGTATTAGGGAAATTGAAATCGAATCGAATTGTGTTTTTGTGAAATTGAGCAATGAGGGTCTTGATGATTTTGATACTCAGTCACTTCTTTATGAGGAAATAGAACAGGGGATTGATAGTATCATGGGGGTATTTGAATTCAATTCTAGTAAACGATGAATCAAATGATATTGTTTCAAATGGTGCCAACACTAGCCATGGCTACCCAATGGGGTTGGGATTCGGGGTTACAAATAGAGTGACGGCATTGAGAATCGGTGATGAAGGAAACTGGTGGAGGATTCTGATTGCGGACATGGTGGGTATTACACCGGCACCACTGGTGAAATGTGAAAAATCTTTGGTCGGAAAGAAGAAGAAAAAGAAGAAAGTGAAGGAATTGATGAAGTCAGAAAACGGGGATTTCAGGTCCAGAAAGCAGCGGTTGTTATTGAAATTGAATTACGATGCCATTTTGAATGCTTGGTCATATAGAGGGTCTTCGTTGTCAGAGGAAATTTCGCAATCAACATCTTCGGGAGACGATGTACATGTATGTAGTCTCTTTCTACCAATAACCAAGTACGTTTTAATCAAATACAAATTACAAGAATATTAGTTATTTATGTTTTAATCATTTTAAAAGTTTGGTTTATATTTTATATGGGTCATACTAATTTTCTAAAAAAAATGTTCTATTGAAATGTAATTTAAAAAAAAAAAGTTCTTCTGTGAAAGAACCAAGAATGTTAAGACCCAGTTTAAAAGAGAGGGGTCTGGAGAGAATGGAGGTTGGTGAGAAAAGGAAGTTCAATGGATCTTTGAGATCCAACAAGAAAAGTAAATCCTCAAAGTCTGGTTCGAGAAGAGGAGGAGGCGAAGGGAAATGGTGCGAAAAGTGAAAAAAGAAGCGCCTTGGGAAATGTGATGGGGAGGTCACTTGTTTTAAGTGTGGAAAGCATTGGCACTATGCCAATGAGTGCACCTTCAACAAGAAAGTTTTTTATGGATGTAATGAGGAAGGGCACATCTCGAGGGACTACCCGAAGAAGAAGGAGGCAGCAAGGCCCAATATCCCACCGAAGCCGAAGGCGAGAGCTTTCTAAATAACCCTAGAAGCAGCGAAGAATGCAATGGACATCGCTTCAGGTACCTTTCTTGTAAATGGGTTGCCTACCAATATATTGTTTGATTCTGTAGCAAATTATTCCTTTATATCACATAAATTTAAGGGAAGACTAGCATTGCGTATATAAAAAATTGATAACACACTGGTTGTAGAAGTTTCCAACGAAAAATCCATACCTGTTAGCGATTGCATTAAGAACATCGTCATCGACTTAAACGGAAATGAATTCCACAAGGAGTTGTTACCCATTGAGCTGAATGGTTTCGATATTGTATTGGGAATGGATTAGCTTAGCGCCAATAATGCAAAAATAATGTGCAAGAAGAAGATAATAAGGGTAATCCCGCCTGGAAAAGAGTCATTTGTGGTGTATGGGGACAAACGCATAGTGAATTCTGGAATCATTTCCTTGATGAAAGCCACAAAATGTTTGTCGAAAGGATGCACATCATACTTGGCATTTGTGAACGATGCTAAGAAGGAGAAAAAGGAGATGCAAAGTATACCACTGGTGTGCGACTATCCGGAAGTCTTTCCCGAAGATCTTCTTGGATTGCCCCCTGATAGACAAGTAGAGTTTCGAATAGACTTGTTACCAGGAACGACCCCAATAACAAAAGCACCATACCCGATTAGCACCGAAAGAGATGAAGGAGCATATGACGCAACTTCAGGAGTTCTTGGACAATGATTTCATTAGACCTAGTTCATTGCCCAGGGGAGCTCTAGTGTTATTCACAAAGAAGAAAGATGGAAGCATGAGGATGTGCATAGACTACAAAGAGTTGAACAAGAAAACCATGAAGAACAAGTACCCATTGCCAATGATTGATGACCTATTTGATCAGCTCCAAGGTTCAAGTTATTTCTCCAAGAATATACCACCCGGTATTCATCATAATTAATTTAAAGTTCTACCCTTCGTGTATATCTCACCCGTACTCATAAGAATATACCACCCGTTATTCATCATAATTAATTTAGGTTTATTTTGTATCCTAAATAATCATATATTATCAAATATGCTCTTTATAAGTATTTCAGTCAGTATCAAATATTTCACACATAAACATATATTTAATACGTTAATTAATATGTGTATTAAAATCATGTAAACATATATTTAATACGTTAATTAATATGTGTATTAAAATCATGATCATGTACAGGACTATGCACTCACACATAAACTATTTAACATATATTTAAATCTTTAACAAATATTTAATACTTTAATTAATACTTGTACTAAAATCATGTTCATGAAAGGGACTATGCACTCACACATAAAATCTTCAACATATATTTAACTCTTTTACAAATATTTAATACTTTAATTAATACTTGTATTAAAATCATGTTCATGAAATGGACTATGCACTCACTTGTTAAAGTGACGACTCGAAATTCGGGCAGCGCTTTGCTTATAACAATCGTCTTTTCCGTCAACGTAACCTAGTATTATTATTACTAAGTTTTAGTCTAATATTTATTGCAACTAATTATTAATCTAGATTCATCATTAACTCAAAGTCTACTTCAAGATCTATCAAGTAAGAAACAACCAGGTAGGATCATATTGGAGGTAGGGTCTGTTTGGTATACGAAGTATACTGTTTGAAAATTTCACTTTACACACCATACTAAATCACAGCCTAGACATCATCCCCATAAGTAGATCAGTCAGTATAATGAATTGGAATCACTAATAAATCTTGTTTATAGGTTCATAATAATGATAATGAACTTAAACATAAGTTATACTTAAAGTATGGTAAGCATAACTCACTTACAAGGGAGTTTAGCAAGGAACCGGGCTCTATGCGGGCAAAACTTCTGAGTCGAAAGCTTTTCTTCTCGGGCTTTCCGGCGCTCCAATAATCGCTAATAACACCTACGAGGTGCTAGGGAAAGGCTTAGAGAGTTTGGGGTGTTTGGGAGAAAATAGGTGAGAAAGGTGTGAACTATGGAGTGATTTGTGTCTTCTGTTTATAGGTTGTGAATATGTCGACGTGGGGCGTTCCCTTGCTTAACATTGGGCGTTCATTGGCCACGTCTCACCATTTAGTGGCAAGGCGTGGGGAAGAAGCAGTGGCTCAGACTGCGTCACGTGTCACTTGTTAGTTACTACAAAAACTAACTATCTTCTAAAATCCGTAATTTTCGCATATGAGCTCCATTTTTAATGTTCTTCATATCTACACGTAGGTATCGACAGAATCTACAACTTTCATTTAGACTCCGTCGGCAAATTTTTACTTTATTTTTAAAGTTATATTTTCACAGGCTTAGAAAATTAAAGTCCGTTAAAAATTCATAACTTTTTCATCTGACTTCATTTGAGGAAGTTATGAATTTTCTAAGATTTTGCATAACAGTATAGCCCGAAAATCGAATTTTAGATTGATCGATTTTTAGTCGACACAACCTAAATGAGAATTGAATAACTTCCTCAAATGAAGTCGATCAATCTAAAATTCGATTTTCGGGCTATATTGTTATCCAAATCTTAGAAAATTCATAACTTCCTCAAATGAAGTCAGATTTGGACGTTCTCTATATGCACGCTCTCAGTTTAACATATACTACGACTTTCATTTAGATCGCTTAGGTTAAAATGTATTTTGTTTCAAAAATTTACTTTTTACGATGCGTAGAGCTATGTCGATTATGTCGTAAAACTTCGACAGGTCATAACCTCTTCGTTATAAGTCGGATTTCAGCGTTCTTTATATATACGGAATCCTTGTGACATATACTATACTTAGGTTAAGATCATTTATTCTAAATAATCTTCTATCAAAAATTCATTTTTAACTCTTACTATCTCTAAATTGATTAGTTCGAATATGCGGGCGTTACAATCTCCAACCTTACATTGAATAGCCACTTTTACACTATACATTACACTATAATGTTCCAACCCTACACTATAACTAACACTATATATATATATATATATATATATATATATATATATATATATATATATATATATATATATATATATATATATATATAGTGTTGGATTTTAGTGTAACACTATATATAGTGTTCGATTCTAGTGTAACACTAAATATAGTGTTGAATAAAGAACAATATACCTAGAATATTCTTTTTAGTGTTAAGTATAGTGTGACAACCCTATATTTTTAAAATCAATGTAACATTCAAAAGTCAAATACAACGAACTATTTGGAATCAACGAAATTAGCTTCAAAAATAAAGTGTTCTAAAATCTAAATTGGGATGCATTAAATGTTAGATATCGTGCCAAGGTTTCCAAAAACATAAAGAACATTCAAATCCGAGTTATAACGAAAAAGTTATGACCACTAGAAAATCCACGACACACCCGGTAAAACATTCTGGTTTGGGGGTGTGACAGATTGGTATCAGAGCATTGTTTATAGTGAACTAAGTATATCGAACCACATAAGATATACAAACTATAAATTCAAAAGGGACCAAAAACCCTCTGACAAAACGTTTTCATAAACGATATTTTTAATAAATTAAAGTGATATACATTTTTACACACATGCATCGGTCTCGTATCATAGCAAAGTTTTATAAAAAGTATTAAGGCAAGTCGCGACACTACGACTAGGCCTCGGGGTATGTAATCAAATCAAGAATAAATATAGCATGATCAACTATATTTATCCTAGATGTGACCGACGTATGTCGAGGAATAGTTGTAGTGGGCAACAAGTCAAAAACTTACCAAATAAAAATACTAGAACCAAGCTTACAAATTTGAAATACAATAGGAGTGTTTTAAAAACATAAGGACAATAATAATCGTGCAAACCTCAAGATTTGGATAAATTTAGGAAGTCGTCGAATAAAATTTCCTTTTTACTCCCAAATTTTTATAAAAGATTTCATACCTCTATTCTAGTACAGACAAAATGGTCGGATTCCATATACCGGGAGATCCCTACTACCCGAACCAAGGTAACGGTGGATGGTTAGAAGAAGATCCGGAAGAAGACCCAGAGGAGTTCGAAGAGGAAGTAGAAGAGGAAGAAGAGCCTATGGAGAAGGAAGAGGAAAGTGCTGATGGAACAGACTCGGAGCCGGAAATAATCAACCCACCAGCTCCCCGATCTCCCATAATTAGAATGGGCTACCAAGGTCCCACTCCCGTTTGGGGAAGCCATATACACCATTGGAGCCAACAACAGGGTGTACGCCTTCCCTTTGGCATGTGTCGGGAGTTCTACGACGTCAGTGGTGGAAGTACATCCGACCGAGCGCTTCCCGTCCTTGTGGGCAAAATAGCCAACCAGACCTACCAATCGGGAGTTCAAGCGGTCCGAATTCGTGAGATCAATGCTGTTGTACAGGGTAACGCCGCAGACATTCATCGTCTGGACGGACTACACAAAGATACCCAACTCCACACAGGGACGCTTCAAAGTCAAATGGAGGCAGCACTTGCAAAAATAAGAAAGATGAAGGAGAAACAAGCGGTCTTAGAAAGA